TCCATCACAATATTCCATAATAATGTACAACTTATTTTTCTCTACAATAAAGTATATCAGGTTTTGAATAAACATTTATACATATAGATTCATAGAATCCTAGAGTTGGAAAAGACCTCAAGGGCCATCCAGTCCACCCCCTGCCATGTAGATATAGACAATCAGAGCGCTCCTGACAGAAGGCCATTCAGCCTCTGTTTAAAAAGCTCCAAAGAAGGAGACTCCACAACTCTCCAAAGGAGTGTGTTCCACTGTCAAATCGCTCTTACCTTCAGGAAATTCTTTCTAAGGTTTAGGTGGAATCTCTTTTTCTGTAATATAGCAATTAACTGCTTTGACTGCAACTTGTACAGCAACAGTAAACTTAATCAAAACCATAATCTGGTGTATTGCTTATTTTTCAGACACCTTGCCTAATTTCTTATTTAAAAGTGCTCAGTTGTTTACAGTCTATTATATATAATCATTAACCCATCAGCAAGTAGCACAGTCAGGTAATTTGTTGTAGAACAGTAAGCACAACTACAGGATCTTCAGTCTCTCAGAGCTTCAGCACCTAAGAGATGTATTTTATGATGGATAGATTATGTGCTCACTCTTTCCAGTATAATAAGAATTACAAAGTTTGTCCACCTCTTGACCCCATATTGGATGGCCAGATTAAAATGGAGTACACAAATATAAAAAGAAGAAAAAACACCTGTAGAAACTGCCACCTATACAGAAGGTATAAGACCTCTGTCCTTTTACATCTGTCCACCCACTGCCAGCTTCTTCTCTAGTGATACTGGCATTAGGATAACCAGAAGTTAAGGAAAGCAACAGCACCCATGTACCTTTTAACCTTATGCAAAGGAAATGACTTTACAAGAAGCCACTTAGAACTCTGTGCAATAAGTTACATCTGAGAGTGCTTTTTCCTCCACAAGTTGGTTGGGGTGGAGTCTGAACCATTTCAACAGCAAAATTACTGCTCCTGGAGTCTTTTGGAAGTGAAAGGTTAAAACTGATTTGTTTTTGAGGTGTATTTTTTAACACAAGAGAAGATTTTGAGGCAGGATCTAAATGTGGGACTGCTTCAATCTACAAGATCTCCCCCTCACTCCCACCCTAAAAGAACATACAGCAAATCATTTTAGAGCCTAGATCCAATTGCTATTCCCAATGAAGAGCAGACTCACTGAAACTGGATTTACACAGACCAGATATTTTAACCTTTCATTCCTGGGAAACAAAGGACCTATGAAGGAATCCATACAAAATAACAGAACAGTCAAAAGATAAAATTTGACCTTGAAGAGAAGTGTAGAAGGCTACTATATTAGGGTGCTTCAACCTGGCTAGAAGGGTGACTTCTTTCTGAGATGATTCTTTCTCTTTCTTTGGCATCTATATCAGTTTAGAAACAAGAAAAATTTGTTTTTTTAAAAAAAGTAGTTACCATATATAAATAATGAAAAATATTTTACACCTGTCCCTCTACATTTGCTGGGGCTAGGGGCACAGGACTCCTGTGAATGTAGAAAAATCACAAATAACAAAAACACCACGTTTTTACCAGAGAGAACACCTCTCTAGGAATCTCTAGGTCCTCCAGTGCAACTCTGTGGTCAACATCTGCCAGACATTGACCATAGAATTGTGCTGGAGGAGCTACAAATGCCTAGTGGAGCGTTCTCTCTAGGAATCTCTAGGTCTTCCAATGGGACTTTTGGTTAAAGCTGACCATAGGGTTGTGCTGGAGAACCTAGATATTGCTAGAGAGAACGTGTTAATCAAATCCGTGAATAATAAAATCTGCAAAAGTCAAAGCCACAAATGTGGAGGGACAAGTGTACTTGACTTTACACAAGGAGAGAATAACTTGTGACCCTGCTATCCAGATGCCACACTGCAACTCTTGTCAGTCCTAAGCAGCCTAGCTAATGGCAAAGAATGATGGGAGTTGTAGTATAACATCTGGAGGGCCAAAAGTTCCCCTCTATAGTGTTAGAATATCTTGCATGCAAGGCAATGTTCAATAAAATATAATAAAACCACAAAACACAAGAAGAAAAAACATACCATACAATGACATTTGAGGGGGGTATTAAAATTAAAAATTAAAAAAGAACAATTGACCTGAATGATGGAAGTAAATTACACTGTATGTAAGTATACTTAATTCTCACAACACACACCAGTAAAACTGGCGTTTTATGTAGAGTGTGCATAGCTTGCCTATTTCTATCCCTAAGATAGAAATAATTTTTTTAGTTTTCTAAGAATGTAATTTATTTAATTTATTTTTCGTGACTTGTAAACTGGGGAAACTAGTAAGGCAGGGAATATTTGGTCCTCCAGAAGTTCTCAGACTGCAGCTTTCATCAGCCTCAGTCAATGATGAGAGACTATGGCAGGTGTTTCACCAACAACTGGATAATTAGGATTAAGACAGGTTCCATTTATATTTAAATAGTTGAGCTTTTATTGTTTTGTTATATTAAGCTACTAAAAAATGATTCACTTGATCATAGACTACCTTTATAGATGCTATACAAACCAAATCTCTTAACACATAAGCAAATTTAGTTCTGAGAAACAATGGCAATTTACCTTTGTTAAACTGATTTCCTTGATAACACACTGTTGATTATCCTCTTTTCCACAGGCTAAGAAAACTTTGCCAAAGGATCCCTCCCCAATCATTTTAATTATTTCATACTGATCCATGGTACTTTATTTTAGAAAAAAGCCTGAAAGATAAGAAAGGTTATAGTGATGAATATCTACAGAGACACCTGCGACATCTTTGTATCTGTGTTCATTATTCATTCATTCTTCAGATTTTTTTTAATGTAGCTTGACCAGGGTAACATAAATGGAAGTCTTTCCCACAAATAATGAAGAACATTGGTACTCACCAAATGTACTCACAAGTAGAAGAGCACTATGTTCATCTTGATTACAAGTGGAGATGGTTTTGTATAACTGCATGACTGGAGAGAATAAGAATTGTCATTATTTCCAATGACATCTTGAGCTTAACTGTGGGATTCCCAACTCATAGTGTGTGAGAAACACCGCTTTGACACACAAGCAGAGAACAAAAGTTCCACCCTATCCTGTTGATCCATATATGCAACTTGAGTTAAAATATAGTTTAAAAAATGCATACATACACATGGTTTATGACATTGTCTGAGGTATATGGGATAGCCACTTACTGAAACTAAACAAATGTCATTGCATAGAGGGGAGATATTTTGGGAACCTTTGGCATACTACCGTATATAATTGACTTTAAGTCGACCTCACGTATAAGTCGAGGGCAGGTTTTGGGGCCACAATTATGAATTTTGATATGACCCATGTATAAGTTGAGAGTAAAACTTAGGGGCATGCAACAAAGGAAAGGAAATCAATGTCAAAGAACGCTGCTATTTTCCTGTCCTAGCATTCAAAAAGGCCCGAAGCAGCACCACAGTTGAGAGAATAGAGGGGGTTGGTGCTTCTTTTAGGTTCTCCCTGGATGGACTAAGCTCTTACCTTTTGCCATTCTACTCAAGAGAGGGAAATGGTTCTTATTTTGAGTTAAGGTACAACACTTGCATTGACCCAGGTTTTTGGGTTCAATTTTTTGACTCAAATTTCTAGTTACACACGAGTACATACAGTACCTTATGTTCCATGATGGGATGAAAATCAACAACATTGGATATACGGTAAATGTATTAAATAAAACAAGGAAGACAATTTGCAGCCTTCAAAATGTTTTCAGGCTGAAGCATTCATCGTTTCTCACCACTCATTGTTTATACTGACTAGAGTTGACAGGATTTCTAGTCCAACATCTGCAAGGCCACAGACTGTGCACGCCTGACATAAACAGTTAAAATATGTGAAACTAGAGTAATGTGACTCCCTCATATGTAGGAAGAGAGTTTTCTGTTTTAGTCATTTAAGACTGATTTCCAAGAAAGTCAATAATCACTTAAAACACAGGACGCAGCCTCAGAGGATGGTAATGGCAATGGCAATCCCACTCTGGAGAAACTTGCCAAGAAAACCCTGATATATTCACCTTAGGGTGAATATAATTAAAAAGTGACTTGGTAATAAGTAAAAAATGCCACAAGTAAAAAATGACTTGGAGGCACACAACTATAAAGAAGAGTAGGTATTTTGTCCCCTTTCCCATCCTTTTGGACCACTAGGGTGGGGAACATTTGGCACACCAAGTATTTTGAAAGCCTCCAACAGTCCTTTACCATTGGCTAAGCTGGATGGGATTCATGAAAATGAAAGTACAAAAAGATTTAGAGGACAAAAAGATCCCCACCACTATTGTAAATATTTCAAGAAAGGTACCAGTATTTGTATTGTTCCACCAAAACCCAGAGTCTTTAGAAAGTATATATATCAGATGAAGTGGACCAATCTTTGAAAGCTGATGTGGAAGAAAAAACATTAAATGAAACACAAAATTCTTTCAGAGAAATCTGAGGAAGCTTATGCTACAACTTTTTTTGCACTGTTAGTCTCAAAGAATACTATTTGCATACAACATTATTATTTGTTGTTTGTTGTGCTGCAAAGAATAAAACTGGCAAAGATACATCTTTTGTTGTTGTTGTGTGACTTCAAGTTGTTTTGACTTATGGTGATGCTAAGGCAATCATATAATTGGGATATCACATATCATCATTGGCAAGTTTGTTCAGAAGGGGTTTGCCACTGCCATCTTCTGAGGCTGAGAGTGTGTGACTTGCCCAAGGTCACCCAGTGGGTTTCATGCCCAGGACAGGAGTCAAACCATGGTCTCCAGAGCATACATCTAGACAAATGCAAATCCATGACTGGGGTAGGTGATAGTGGCATTAAACACAGAATATGTGATGGACTAATGTGTTTGGCACTTTTAACACACATGCACACAAGATCTGTGCTTCTGGCCTTGAAAGGAGAGTGGAGGAGATTATGGATGCAGCCCTATGCAGGCTTAACCTGGAATCAAGAGTGTCAGTGTGAGGTAGTGGTTTGAGTGCTGGACTAGGACTCTGGAGACCAGAGTTCAAATCCTGGCTCAGCCATGGGAACTGGTAAGCTTGTAAATCATGCAAATCCCTCCAAGCCACTGGGTGACCCTTAGGCAAGAAATCACACTTTCTCAGCTCTCAGGAAGTCAAACCACTCAGAAGAAACTTGCCAAGAAAACCCCGGCTTCTTGTTGTTGTGTCTGTGGAGACATACTAAAACAAATAACAGTACAGTACTTGCCCATAGGGAAACATAGGAGAATACTTGCCTATAGGGAAATACTGGGAATTACTTGCCCATAGGTAAATGTTGGAAATTACTTGCCTATAGTGAAATACTGGGAATTACTTGCCCATAGGGAAACATTGCAGAAAATACTTGCCCATAGAGATACATTGGAGAACACTTGCCCATAGGGAAATATTGGGAATCACTTGCCTATAGGAAACATCTCCAATGTTTTCCTATAGGCAAGTATTCTTCAATGATTCTCTATGGGCAGGTATGGCTTTCCTAAGGGCAAGTACTGTCATTTGTTTTAGTGTGCCTTCATGTCCTTTCCCATTTATGGAGTTTTCTTGGCATGTTTCTTCAGAAAGGGGGGGAGGGTTTGCCATTGACATCCTCTGAGACTGAGAGAGTGTGACTTCTTGCCCAAGGTTAGCCTTAGGGTCAGAAATAAGTGGTAGGCACACAATAACAAAGCCACACCGGGGAGCTGGAGGGCTTACTTGCGAGATACCACACAGACAGGCTTATTATACCGGCTGACACCAGATAAACCTACTGCGCCCCTTCCCCTTAAAAAGCTCTGAGGGGTCTGTCTCCCTTGAAAGGAGGAGGAAGAGGCCGAGAGGGAAAGAAACCGTTGGCTCCCCCCCTCCCTTGCCGCGGTTGCCATGGTGATAGGGCGCTCGCGCGCGCACGCGCACCCCTCCCCCCTCATTAACTCACGGCTGAGGCTTCCTCTCACTCTTGGGAGTCATATAAAGAGAATAAGGACTAGTGGGCGGAAGTGGGGAGACTCGGATCTGCCGAAAGAGGCGGAAACGGGCTCAATAACGGTTCCCCTCTTCACAACCAGACACCCTCCCATAAGGCCATGCCTCCTCCAGTCTTCGCCCCGCCTCCTCAAAGGCTCACTCAACCCCCCTCAGGGCATGTCCTCCTTTTTTCCCCCCCTCCAGGGCATGTCCTCCATTTCAGCCTCCTGCCCAAGAGGGATTCCAAAATGTCCTCCACTTGGGGTACGACTGAGAAGCATGGGTTTAGTATGTATATAAAATGTGCTCCAATTTGAGCATGACTGAGAAGGATGGGTTTATATTTATAAAATAAATAAATAGAAAATGTCCTCCATTTGGAGCATGAATGAAAAGGGTGGATTTATATTTATATAAAATGTCCTCCAATTTGAGCATGACTGAGAAGCATGGGTTTAGTATTTATAGAATAGAAAATGTCCTCCATTTTAAGCACGACTGGGAAGGATATATATAATAATATAATAAATAGAAAATGTCCTCCATTTGGAGCACGACAGAGAAGGATGGAATTATATTTCTAGAATAAATAAATAGAAAATGTCCTCCATTTGGAGCACGACTGAGAAGGGTGGATTTATATTTATAGAATGAATAAATAGAAAATGTCCTCCAATTTGAGCATGACTGAGAGAATGAATAAATATAAAATGTCCTCTGTTTTGAGCATGACTGAGAAGGATGGGTTCATATTTATAGAATAAATAAATAGAAAATGTCCTCCATTTTGAAATCATGACTAAGAAGTAGGAATTTACATTTATAGGTATTTTGAGCTTTTATTTGATCATGTCCTCCATTTTTCTTGACTGTCCTACATGCCAAGGGAGAGGGAACAGGGTGACCAGACACATCCTCCTTTCCTCCCCAGGACCTGTCCTCCATTTCAACCTTCTGTCCAGGAGGGAATTCCAAAATGTCCTCCATTTGGAGCATGACTGAGAAGCATGGATTTATATTTATAGAATAATATAAAATGTCCTCCATTTGAAGCATGATTGAAAAGAATGGATTTATATTTCTAGAATAAATAAACAAATGTCCTCCATTTTTCTTGAATGTTCTCCATGTTGTGGTGCCTTGTCCTCCTTGCCAGTGAGGACAACTGGTCACCTTGCATCAGAGCCTCCCCACACATCTTATTTACCCACACCAAGCATCCCCAAAACTTGAAATCATATCTATTGAAATTATGGACATTTGAAATTAGTCTGGATACTTCTCCCAAGCTGCAAAGTTAGTGCAGTTTGACACTGCTTTAACTGTCACAGCTCCTGGAATCTGTAGTTTGTTGGGGCTCCAGAACTCTGACAGGGAAGGCTAAATGTTCCACAAAAACTACAAATCTCAGAATGCAAAAGTGAGTCATGGCAAAAGTGGTGTCACACTGCACTGGACTTGGGCAAGTCACACCTTCTCAGCCTCAGGTGACAGCATTGACAAGCCTCCTCTGAATAGATCTTGCCAAGAAAACCCCAGGACAGGGTCGCCAGAAGTCAGGAACAACTTGAAGGCACACAACAACAACAAACTGCATTAATTCTGCAGTGTAGATGCAGGCTAAACAGGCCTTTTTAACAATTGTTAAAAGATTGGTTTCCTGTTACTTTGAATTTTTTATTTAAGAATGTTTATAAACTTATTACATCTGAAGATTTCAAAACCATACAACAATAACATGACATACAATACAAAACAGTATACAAAAGTTAATGTTTACATTCTCCGTTAAAAAAATTGGTGAGGCTGAATTATATCAGAAAAATTTGCAAAAATAGGCAAGCATGGTGTCTGAACGATGCAATGACCTGTGTTTCATCTGAAAAGGAGTTTGTTTTTATTGGCGCAGTGTGATTATATAGGGAAAAACTGAAAAGATACTGTTTCTAATATAAGATTTATCTCCCACCTTTCCAGACAGCTGAGTTTGAATTAACAAAATTACCAATACACTTGTCCCCCTCCACATTTGGGGCTTTCACTTTTGCAGATTTGATTATTCACGGATTTTATTAATATGTTCTCTCTAGGAATATCCAGGCTCTCCAGCACAACCCTATGGTCAGCTTTAACCAAAAGTCACACTAAAGGACCTAGAGATTCCTATAGAGAACATTCCACTATGCGTTTGTAGCTCCTCCAGCGCAAACTCTATGGTCAATGTTTGGCAGATGCTGACCACAGAGTGGCACTGAAGGACCTAGAGAGGTGTTCTCTCATATAAAAACATAGTGCTTTTGTTATTTGCGGTTTTTCAACATTCACAGGGATGCTTTGCCTCTAACCCAGGGGTAGGCAACCTTTTTGATCCGGGGGCCGGTCCCGCGAAGTCCT